AGCGTCTCCCCTCCAAAGGCAGCAAGACGGATAGCGACACCCGAGGGCACCAGATTTGAATCTGTTCCCATTAAGGTTTCAGAGAAACACTTCACCTTATCTTAAAAAAATGCAAGTTTATCTGCAGCAATCGCTTGGCCTCTGTTTCTTCTGTTACTCATTATTAAAGGCTTGCATATCATAATGCCACAATTGAGCTTAATTAGCAGATATTTGAATGCTATCTACCGCGAGGGATCTGAGCAGACGGGCATTGTCTTCTAGGAAGTCTGAGGCTCAGGCCCCGTCCTGATACGCGGTCTGCTGCTTGGAGATGCCTCGGCCACCAGCATCGTGAGGTGCCACCAGCAGCCTCACCTCTACAGCAGCGTTGGGGACCCCTCCACAACAAGGCTGCAACCGCAGATGCTTGCTCTGGGCGCTCCCACGGTAACATCACTTCCTCAGATGAAGATTCCTCTCTCAGAACCTGACAGACTTCTTTCTAGTCTCCCAGTCAAACCCTCGCTTTTCCAAAGGCCAACATCAAGTCTCTACCCCTGCCCACCAAGTTATGAACAGGAGAGACAAGTGTAAAGCAGCCCGGAAGTCTCAGGATGGATCAAAACCAGTGGACAACACAGCTGAGCACTTCCATGCTGGAAGGGATCCGCTGCTCTGGGAAGTGGGGATTCAGCACAGGAGCTGGAGGCTCCGCTTTTCCCTGGCAGGGCAGAGGACAGCTCGGGGTCAGGGACCCTCGTCTCCGCAGCGCTCAGCTACGGGGGCTCCCACTGAACGGATTTCAGCCGCTTCCACCCGTGCCGCGAGCCCCACGCCGCACTGGGGAGGACTGGAGAAGCAGCTCAGACACCCGCAGCGTGGCCTCCTCGGCCCAGGGGCACCCCACCAGCCTTCCTGCTGGAACCAATAAAGGACAGAAGCCGTATTTATTGCATTAATCTCCATACCAGGAGACTCGAACTGATTTTTATTTCTCCCTTGTATTGCATTTCTGTAACTTTTACAGTATTAAAATGATTAACAAAAGCATAAAACTGGAAACAAAAACAATCACTGAGAGTGTCTCCTCCGGCACTCCAAGGCCCATCGGCAGCGGGGGGGGCGGCGGCGCAGTCGCACCCGCACGGAGAGGCTGAGGCTCAGTCCCTGCCCCGGGACGCGCTGTGCTGGCAGGGAGAGACAGCCTTTCCCAGGAGGCAGGAAGGCACTCAAGGCATGGGCTACGTGTAAGCCTGGCTGGTGGGAATCCTCAAGACAAGGTCCTGGTTCTTGGCTGGATAAGCACTCTCGGGGCACGTGCTCTAGATGTCCATGTCAAACTGCTCTTCCTCACCTGCCGAGAGGGACAAAGCCCACAGATCAGTCCTCCCAGTTTCACATTAAATACCAAACAGTTTTTATTGAAGAAACAACCATCAGCAGCGCTTCAGAAAATTGGCAGCTTGGACTTCAAGCCTGCATTCAGGCACCAGGTTTGATGTGGGAACCCTCTCGCACACGCAAGACGTAAGCTCTGTCCGCAGCAGGGACCTCACCCGCAGAGAGGCAAGAGCAGAAGCAGAGACGCCCTTCAGAGAATTTGTTTCTACTCCTGGATTTCCTTGTAGAAAGGAATGTAAAGAGTGTAAACGTCTGTTACCAGAGACACAAACGCCCATTTCACAGCTTTTTATCTGCACAGCTGTTACGCAGCTCCACAGCCACCAACGTGGGCAGCGATGGCCTGCTCCCGAGGACAGGGCTTCTCCGGGAGGGTCACAGCCACGCTGGCACCCGGCGCGCAGCCTGCGCTGCAGCTTGCCAGAGAATCCAGGGAGACACTAAAGGTCACAACAGCGTAAAAAAACCCACATTAAGCAATATTGACTCTGGAAAGATTTTGCTTAGAGTGAGCATGGGAGCCAGCTAACAAGCACTCAGATCTTTATTTTCAGACAGAAGCTAAATAACTGTACTTGGTTGCTTCTTGAAGCAACCCAAACTATCTCACCCAGCTTTAGAAGTGTTCACAGGCAGCATGTGCTCCTGCTGCTACTCCAGCGCCTGCGGTGAAGCATTCACGTGCACAGAGCAGCCCACGAGCCCTGCTCTCCCGTGGACTAACCTCTACCTCGCTGCCTCACGCACAGCCACGTCTGCCGAACCCACCACAGACAGCGCAGGATGCTGGATAATTGGTGTACACAAAGCAAGTATTGTGTCCCAGCTACATAAGCTGAGCTCACTTGTACCCCAGAAGCCTCGGTGGCTTAAAAAAAGGCAGAAGGAATTCACAGCTCGGGCCGATACGCAAACCCCAAGCAAACCCTGCTCCGAACTGTAACCTGATCTCCTTCAGAAACGCAAAGCTGCTGCGAAACGCTCCAGGACAGAGAGGCAGCACCAGCTGCACCCGTTCTCTCACCACAGGACTGTTCGTCCAGCAGCAGTTTCCAAATGCTAAATTAATGAGAATCAAGTGATTATAACAGATTACACTTAATTAACTGAAAAAAGTCACATTACTGGGGACCACAGCAGAACCTAATAACCACGGGAACCTAATTACCCAGTGACATCAAGCACACTCTCGTTTTGCAAGAAGTCCTCAGAGTACTGACCCCAGCTTGCAGGGGTCTCCGGGCTCCACGCCATCGGTGAACTCTGGCATTTCCAGGAACCAGCAGCGCACTGGGCTGGGTTTTGGCACGCACTCACCTGCGCTCGCTTTCTCATCACAGTTTTGGACATGGTTGTTCTCAATCTTCAGCTCCTCCACATTTGGGCTCGTGACACCTGGAATGTCCGGAAGGTCAGAAGGTGGTGTTTTGGCAACCGGAGAATTGCGGCACTCCATCAAAAACTTACGATCGTAAATAATCCTGGTACCTGCGGGGAGACCAGCACACGGTCAGGTTTCAGCACTGTGATGCCGCAGTACGGCTGGGCCACCTACGCAGCCAGGTGCGTAAAGCAACAGCAGGAGTCACCCTTCAAGCGACACCTGTTACTCAGCATTTACTCTGCCCGTTTTGTGCTACCTGGCAAGGCAGCCAGGTACCATTAACAGTACATCTGCCAAAAACAGTACAAAGCGCCAGGTCCCCAAGTGCTGCACAGCGAGAACACAGGACTCCAGAGCCCAGACTGATGCTGCAAGCAATAAATCCCTTCTGCCTCACTCCAGGTCACACCGCCACCCAAACTCAACACACTAAGTTAAATTTCTGCTCAAACACAGCCAGGTTTCCTCAGCTGTCAGGGCCTGAGAGCCGCGGGCAGCCACCGGCGTACACACCAGGTAGCCGGAGGCAGCAGCCCCTGCCCCTCCATCACTGAACGCTGCCCAGCAGGAACTCGCTTTCCACGCCAGGTGCTGGCTGCCCAGCGCGGTTACGGTCACCTACGCCTGTCAACAGGCCCCAAGGCAGCGAGCTGCTAACGCCCGGCTGTTTTCAGGGTTTCCCAGACCACAGCCGGCTCTCCCTGCCCTGCACGGAACAAGGCAGCTCCAGCACATCCCAGCCAGCTCCACGGGAGCTTGGCTCCAGGCACGGATTTCTAGGAATACCACTGGACTGAACAGCCCGTTCTTTATACAGGAACTGCACTGGAAAAAGCTCAAAAACCACAGGCAGAAAAGGGATCCCTCCAAACAAGACTGCAGCCTTAACCCAGAAAGTACCGAAAATCAGTGTTTTCTTCCCCTAGGAGGCAGCCTGCAAACTTCCTCTCTGGATCAGGCCCTTCCTGCTCCACTCCAGCAAGAGGGAAAGGCGACTGCTCCTTGTGTACGCCCCGAAAAAACCTTAACTACAAACACACAGGTGCAGGGAAACCAGACCCCATGAACATCTGTCCGGGAACATTAAACCCGCTTTATTTTGAAGCATGGCTATGAAATAATGTAGCTGGATATCAGGTTTCAAGAAAGTTCTGCTAACGAGCTCCCAAAACGCTGGAAACCTTTTCACTAAAAGATTTTGAATCCGAGTTGCTTCCCTAGACCCAAGCGGGGATCAAACCCAGCACAGGGCAGGCAGGCAGCAGATCTGCGAGCCGAGCATTAAATTCCTGGGAGGTTCACAGCGGCGAGGACGGGGCTTCCTAGAACTGCAGCCCACATACCGAGTACCAGGAGCACAGTTCAGGCAGGCAAGAGCTTCCACGCCTGGGTCACGTTCCTCCGACTGTTACACGGCCAGCGCTTGGGAAAGCGGACACCCGGCTGTCAACAGGCACGGCCCGAGGCCATAAATGGGCTCCTTCCAACTCGTAAAGCTGAGCTAACAGCAAAGCTGAGCTAACAGCGTATTTAGTCAGAAAAACTCCACCCCAGGGGACTGCTCTGCTCCCCGAAAGCCCTGCTTATACGGCAGCTTCAACACCCAACCGTGCGATGCGGAAAGCCCGGATGAGCATTTGGGTTGCGTACTCTCGTTGGGGTGAAACACTCGGTTTGAAGCAGTGCCCAGTCCAACGCGCCGTCCCTTGCCCGCTCCCCGACACCGGAGCGCAGGCAGCGAGCTGCGCTGCTCCAAGAGCCATCCCATCCCCACCGCACGAGCCAGCGGCCCCGCGGCGGGCACTGACAGGCACGAAGGGAATACCAAGAACAGGCTATGCTTAAAACTCACACGTCACCTCTTACACGCTCCTCCGTGCTTCTGCGTACCCTTGTGGTTTGTTTTTTTTCACCACTGCTGTAAGAAAACCAGCTGCTGCCTGTGCTGGCAGAGGACAGGGAACGTCTGCGTTGCACCGTCCCGTCCAGACGGGATCACAGAGACCTGTCACGATAGCTGAGAAGGGAAAACCAAGTCTTTTCCTCTGATTGCTGGCACAGAAACCACAGCAAAACTCCGCTCGCTCTCGTCAGCCCCACGGCGGGCTGCGCTGCTGCCCTGCTGCCGCGGTGAGTGAGAGGGAGGAGGCTCCCGAGCATCGCAGCGACTGCCTGCCCTCCTCCGAACAGCCCCCTTCATCCAAACTGCAGTTCAGGATGTTGCTGCAGCACTTCTGGAGGCTCGAAAGCAACCTGCCCGAGAAGTCCATCTCAGTGCTGCGCACACTGAAAGACCTCAGGAGGAAGAGTTCGTGCATTTGACCGCAAGCAAAGCCAGACCAGAGCAAAGGTGCTAATGAAGAAGCTGAACTACAAGTGCCTGGCGACTGGAAAAGCAAGTGTTCCTCTGCTCTGTCCACGTAAATCAGCTTGGCTGTGCGACGCGCGCAGCTCGGCGTAGGGCAGATGTGGAGCGGCACCTTCCCAAACGCCCTCAGCCACCAGCGCCGCTGCGTGGGGTTCTAGCTCTGGCACGGGGCCCTCTTTCCATCACTCACATCCCAGCGCTGCCTATGGCCAAAGGGATGACTTCAGAGATCACGTTCCTCAATTCTGCTCTGAAATTAGTCAGAGGTTTTGCACGACAAACTTGATTTGCTTCTCTCTTCTGATTCTTCAGATTCAACCTACCACAGGAGTTTTTTTCAGCGGGCTACGTATGTTGGAGATTTTCAGCAAAGGGACCTAAACCAAGGTGTTCCAAAACGTTAAGATTATTTTTACAGCAGTCAGGGCTTACATACAAGGGAGGAATGTGAAGTGTTCTGCCCGAATCGGTGGACACATGGGTTTGCAGAACACGGGCACAGAGAGCATGCGTGGCCCAGGGGGCAGAGAGGCTCTCCGAGCCCAAGCTGCCCGGCCCCACAATCCTTAAAGCGACACTTTAGCACATTAAGCTGTGCTGAGTTTGATGCGAAATGTATTGATCATGTTTTCACAAGAGCCCTTCCAGACTGTGCAGGACAAGGACTCCTCTGCAGGAGTGACGGGAAGGCAGACCACCCACCCAAAGCCAACACCCCAGGAGCCAGCCCCGGCAGCAGAGCTGTCCTCAGCCCCGCGGGGACAAACCCGCACCCCGCGGGCACGAGAGCCCTGTGGGTTCTGCCAGGTGCGCACGCCCTGGCCACAAACACCATTTGCTTTTCTCCTCCACGCTCGAGACATTCATTAACTCTGCACCAGAGACAAACAGAGATGATAACCCTGGCAGGCTCATTACGCTGCGCAGCGTTAATTGTTCGTTTCTATTCTGCTACTCAGAGCACATGAATACAGCTGGGAAAGTCGTTCTCATTCTCTGTCTTCCAGGGCGTAATTACCACAAGTGCCATTTAAGTACTTCAGTTATTTGCTGCTTTCAGAGAAGAGAGACCATATGGCAAAAATCACACAGGAACTTCAGCTCCCCAGCCAAGCTTTTCTGCACAAACACAAAGCACCCACTGAGTCAGCAGTGCTGACTTCCCCCTTCTCTCTGAGTTTTAACCCCTGAAACGCTGTGCTGTGAAGAGACCGGTCTGAGGCACCAACACCACATCGGCCACCGCCTCCTGTTCAGTTTGTTCCCTGGCCGAGCTTCAAGCACAGTTTCATCACTCCTGCTGCTCACGCTGATTTTTTTATTAAATACCATTG